TGTATATAGACAACACTAACATAAACACAAAAATTTCAAGTATTTACAGTGATTAGTTTTTGAATTACAACCATATAAAAAAATGGATTTGGTCGAAAACTGGGTTTCCCGTTTTTCTCGTTTTTTTTTTTTTTAAACTGTTGGAAAATGTTTACTTTTGACCTTTATAATGCATCAAGGATATTCACTTTTACATCGGAAACCACCCCCAAAGTTTGAAATTGAAGCATTCTTTCGAATAGTTATGCTGTACACAGACACAAAAACAAATTTAAAAAAAACACACATCATTGTAAAATCAATACATTCATTACTCTGTTCAGAATCTAAAATATTTGTAAGTTATATTGTAGTAAGGGGATTTTTTTTTCCAGGATTCATATAATTATAACCTATTGGGCCGGTGGTCAGAAAAAAAAGCCAGGGTAAAAAAAGCATTATTACAATAATTAATTATACCTATAACCATTAAAATTAAAGTATTAAATTAGGTATTATTTAAAAATTGTTTACACATTATTGGTCAAATATATAAAAAATAATTTTAATTGAATATACAAAAAATAAAATTTAAAGTATTCTTCAAAATTTTTAAACATTGGTCATATTGTATACATAACATATATTATATATTTTATAGTTTCGACGGATTTCGGGTTTTAACTGTAACATATATATATAAAYATATTAATACACAGGTTATATATGTTAATTAATTTAAAATTTTTAACACGTGCAGTTGATCATACTGTATGGTCCGTATTCATATATAAAATTGTTAATATTATAATATACATTGAATAAAAATAATATAATATTTTGTGGATATTATGTTGAAACTTGAAATCAATTGATTTATGTCTTACACCTTAGATATGTATAAGTATTATGTATATACTTTGTACAGGGTGATTTTTTTTTTAATGAACATGTTGCAGATCGCAGTATGAAATACATCCTATCTTGAAATAAATTAATTTATATACATTTTTAATTTAAACTTTTTGTTTAATAAAATCAATACATTCATTGCTGTTTAGAATCTAAAATATATTTATTACTATGAATAATAAATAATAACATATAACCTGTGTTTTAATAATTATATATATATGTATACAATATGGCCAATAATGTGTAAACATTTTWTTAAATAATACCTTATTTAATACTTTAATTTTAATTGTTATATACATATTTAACTATTGTAATTTGGCTTTTTTTTCTGTGGATTATTTTTCCCGTGGCTTTTTTTTCCTGGATTTTTTTTCCTACATTCTATTGGGCCATTGGAGATGTGGGACATGAGCCGATAACCCAAATAATTGTTTCTTTTTACTTTATAGTTATCTTCACTACCTATTCATTAGTTATTTTAAAGTAGTTATTAAAATAATTATACCGTCTATACCCAAACACTTATACTGAAATGTCCGATGTATTAGTTCCAGAACGTTTAGTTCATTAGCTGTCTTTTTAATCGCACTAATTGTTTTAGGAACTATATTTTTATCTGGTTAAGTTGGATGATATTTATGTGTAACTACTTAACTTAATAGTGTTGGATTTGTTTTGAAAACTGTAGTGTGTGGAGAATAGCTGTATACTTACAAAAACTTTTTTCATTACATTTCCGTGTAAAATAATTTGTTCACGCATGTTTTAAAATATTCTTTTAATTATGATGATACCATTTATATGATAAAGATAACGATGAAATTAATGATGTAATTTATATAATATTGTGATAATCAAATTAATGTTAGAATTTATGTGATTTAATTAAATATAATTATAAATTATATTTACTGTATTTATTTGAYATAATTATTTCCATACTATTATATCTATGAAATATGAATATTATATACAATAAAATAAAACACATTAAACTAACGACTTTTTGTTTACTTACAATTAGGCTGCTATCTTTTGGTCATTATTTATTTAAGTAATACGATTTCTTAAATTCGGTATTAAATTATTAAAGGTCTATTTACACTACGATGGAACAGAGATGGACCGGACCACGCCCGTACTCGTAAATATGATAATAAATTAAATTTATTTAAATACAGTATTAATCTAGAATATAAGGAAAATTAAATCCTCTGTATTTTTGTTTATGCCACTTCTAGACGCTTACAAATTACAATAAACGCTTGTTGTTTCGTATATAACAATGATTACCGGACRAAAAGTAAGGGGACAAAAATTCCGAAAATACAAAATTGTCTATTTAATTTTCATTTATAATTATAATGTACATTGTATTACATAATATTATTATGTAGGTATACACATGTAATATTATATATATAGTCAGTTCATGTATAATTATTATTTATTTAAAAATGTAATTTAAGTACTTTTATTGCATTATTATATTATTGTACTTTTTATTATATTTTCTTATTTCTTATTATTTCTTATACCTAACAAAAATATTACGGAAATCCACTATAGTTTGGTAGGTACGTACCTATATGGATCTAATGTTTATCGCAGCCGTACGTCTACAGTTTATCTACCATAATATTATTATACCTACATGCTACAATAGCGTTAATCAATATTATTACCACGATTATAAYATAATATTATATAGGTACCTATAATATCATTTACCTACTTTTATCTCATCGATATACATATTATATAATCGATTTCATGGGGACGTAGCAGACGTGAATTATAAATTTAATTTGTCACTTAGTGTATCCCTAGACGTTATTTAGTCRAGGTGGAGGATGGAGGTTGAAATAATAGTTTTTGTAATAAAATAAAATAAAAAAAATTTTTTAACGGATATGCATATATGGTTCATCATAATCTGGTTTCTAGTATTCGGTGGAAATGTTCCATACATAATTATGACAAATAAAACAATTTTGTATTTTCAGACTTGTTGTCCAACTTTTTCTGTACCGGACTTTTTGACGGATTACCATAACAATTATAGCTACCGCGGTTACAACGAGAAAAACTCTATCCCTACAATGTCTACAATATATTATAATTAATGATAAAAATGACAAATACACGTATATRTTACGCTAATATACTCTTTTAGTACACCGTATTATGCATTTATATTAAATTTATACTACACGCCACATGTTGTAGAATATATAGGAACAATAACGTAGTACCACAATATTACGTGACAATGGGACGATACGTATACAATATTAAATGTGTAATTTGTTTTTTTCTTTAACCTGCAAAAAATACTAATATAATAATATATAACACTTAATATAAGACAATGGCTGTTTTTTATAGTAATGGCATAATATTTTATCGCAGCGTCGACGGAAAAATACGTGATCAGACGAAAAGTGAGACAGCGTCTATGTGCAGTTGGCGCCGCAGTATCACATAATATTATAATAATAAAATTGTATACAGTATTATACTATTACACAAAACTTATTATAATATAGTATAATGAATAGGAATAGGAACCTCTGATAAATACTCGGAATCGAACACAAAGGAAATAGTAATGTTATATCGGTGGGTTTCTTTTTTTTATCTACAGGAAGAATATATTTTATTGTATACATGTGTTTCCCAAGAAGATGCGGAATGCGAGTTCGAGACCCTTGACTTGTATGTCACCATTGTCAGCACGCATAATATGCTGTACAGGCATTTATTATACTTAAACTCGAACCGTTTCGTTTTAGATTGCAATATCGCAGCTCCCCTCCCGGAATCCTTCTAGACTGCTTCTTTGTCTCGCCGTCGTCATGCATTCCGAATATTCCGATAATAATTTTATTTCATTATTTGGTTGTAACTTGTTGACTTCGTATCTATACCTCTATTCGCCATAAGTTGGACCCACTTACGCGCATGCATACTGAGCC